GGTTTGATTTTTTTTTACACAAATTCTCACTATTGTTCCAGGCTGGCCTTGAACTCACTCTGTAGCCCAGTCTAGCCTTAGATTCATGGGAATCCTCCCGCCTCAGCCTCCTGAGTGCTGGAATTCCTAGCTTGCACCACCATAATTGGCTCATTCATATTTTAGACAAATCTGTGTTGGGAGTCATATGAAAGGAGGATTTGTTAGAAGGAGACTTGTTAGAAGGCTACGGCAGTTGTCTTCTCAAGATGTCTGAAGTAGAGCAGTAACATAAGAAATAGAAAAGAGCCGGGCGTGGTGGCGCACACCTGTAATCCCAGCACTTGGGAGGCTGAGGCAGGAGGATCGCTGTGAGTTTGAGACCAGCCTGGGCTACATAGTGAGTTCCAGGTCAGTCTCAACTACATAGTGAGACCCTGTCTCAAAAAACAAAAAATGAAATAAAATTACTTTGTTGCTGATTGGCTCTGGAAAAGTACTATCTTACTGGATGACTGTTTCATGAGATATTGTCACTCGCTTAGATGGTAAATTCTGGGGGGCACAGTATGGTGGAGGGGGTGCTGAGTCCCTCGGACATGATGAATTTGGAGATATTAAGATACAGGCAAGTGGATATATGATCAGATAAGATTGTTGTTGTAGGCAGATATCAGAACTAGGGAAAAACACTCAAGCCATCCGCATACAGGTTATAGCTAAAGTTATAACAATGGAATGATGTTTTAAAAAAAGTAGACTAAGAAGAGTAGTTGATTATTGTGACATACTTTTAATCCCAGCACTCAGGAGGCTGAGGCAGGAGGATTGCTGCCAGTTCAAGGCCATTCTGGGCTGCATAGTGAGTTCAAGACCAGCCTGAACTACAGGCTTCCACAAAGAGGGAGGAGGGGAAAGAGGAGGAGGGATAGGGATGAAGAGGAGGAGGAGAAGGAGGAGGAGGAGAAAACAGGAATGGCCAGCGGGGAACTAACCAACGTTTAGAGACTAAGCAGAGGAACAGATATTCATAAGAGGGAATAAAAAGGAATACAGAAGTATTGTAGAAGATAAATTGTGAAAACAAAGAGATAAAGGCAGAATAGCAAGTGGAACAATGAGGCACTGAAGAATTGAGAATGTCACTTTGCCGGAAGCCGTCCACGTGGATCATCACGAAAGCACGTTTGATTTTATAAGCGATACGTTAATGTGCAAATCCATCACCTGTTTTTCACAAGCCAGTAGTCTTTCCCATTAAGGTTACCATAGCCAACCACTAGTACGCCATGAGTCACATTCTGAGTGCAGGAGGGGTCATCGTAGACACCTGAGAATAAAGTATGGGTTAGTAAAGGAAGAAAACAGCAGAACAAAGAGGAAAACAGACCAAGAAATGAAAAAGATAAGAGATGGGCGAGGAAACAGAGGGATCGCTGTGTGACGGGGCTTCTCTCCGCCCCCCAAGCGGGGGTTGAACTCAGGACCTTGTGCTTGCGAGGCACCGAGCCAAGTCCCCGGCCCTGCCAGTTTTGTGTTTGAATTTTTATGAAATCCCACTCCTTTCTTTGGTCGTGTGTGTTTTCATTTTGTGACTGGTATATTTCAGCGACAGCACCCATCGTGGGGAACCCGTCCCTGCGCACGGTGCGTCGCGCTTTCTACCCGCTCCCTGCCCTCCCTTCCATCCCCTGTTCCCGAATTCATGAGAGCTTTGTCTCCATTCTTCCTCCTGTTCTCTCTCTTTTCTCACTAGTCCTTTCCTCCCTCCCCACATCGTTCCCCTTCTCATTTGAGCATTTTCTTCCCCTTTCCCAATATCTGTAACACATTTGGGTCATTTTTCACCATTTTGGTGTCTCGTGCCAGAGAAACAATGCGGTAGTTAAACGATTTACTTCACTTGAGTGTGGTCTTGGCTGGGGGTTCAGCTCAGTGGTGTGGCTGCGTCCCTCGCAAGCTCAAGGTCCTGAATTCAACATTTGGCACCAAAAAAAGAAGAAGAAGAAGAAGAAGAAGAAGTGTGGTCTCAACGTGCATCCATTTAGCGAGAAATGTCTCGTTTTTCCTTCTTCACGCCAGAGAAGAGCTGCATCGTACGAAACACCCACATCTTGGTCCATGCGTCAGTCGTCCGGCATTTGGGCCGTTTGCAAGCTTTAGTTCTTACACACTGCGCCGCTATAGACATAGGTTTGCATGTATGGCGTTAGTGTGATGCTTTTAATCCCTTTGGGAAGATGCCAAGAAGGGGAACGGCTGGGTCAAATGGAGCCTCTAGTTATACTTTTTTGAGGACTCTCCACCCTGATTTCCACAGTGGTTGCACCAGTCTGCACTCCCACCAGCAGCCCTTTCGCCCACAGCAGCCCGGCCAGCATTTGTTATTGGTCGATTTCTTCTTTTTTTTTTGGTACCAGGGATTGAACTCAGAACCTTGTGCTTGTGAGGCAGGCGTGGTGCCGCTGAGCTAAATCTCAGGCCCTGTATGTTGATTTTTATCTTGCAACTTTATTACATTTAAGTTGCATAGTTTTTAATCTTAGCTCAATCACTTTCAGGTTGTGCAATTTCAAGCAAGATAATCCCTCTAGTGAGTTTCTCCATCTGCAAATGAAGGTTGCTGTGAGGGCTGAATAAGATAAAACATAGAAAAAATTGAGCATGATGCCCGGCAGCTAGTGTTAGTAAGCTTTCGTAAGACCTGGGTATACAACATTGAAACGAAATGAGAGATCCTGTCTAACCTGTTCGGACATTTGGGTAGAATGAGGGAGGGGTACTATGCTTTCCTCTGTGCAGGGTCAGCTATGGAAGAAGCTCGCAGATGTGTTTTACCGCTTCTGTAGAAACGGAATGAAGGATGCTCTGCATCAACAGCAACAGACACTGGTCCTTTACGGGCCACGGCTTCTTTCAGGGCTTCTTCGCTGCCAGAGGGGAGTTCTGTGTAACTTGAACATGTGGCAGCACGGTTTTTTGAATCATAATGGCATTTTTCATCCTGAAAACAATACATATACATATATATATGATAGATGAAGTATATATTTCTATTTCCATTATAAACCACCAGTACCCTAAATCTGGACTTTAAATACATTTTTTCTCACTTTCATATTTTCAAGTGGCTATGACTCCTCTTTTGTTTTTCCTTCTGTTTTGAGACAGGGTCTCACTACGTAGTGCAAGCTCAGACTCTTCAGTCCTCCTTCTGCCTCCTGAGTGCTAGGGTTACAGGCACACGCCACCACTCCCGGCTCAGACTCCTTCCTTTGAAAGAAAGAATAATCAAATTGTCCAAATCCAGATTTAACCTATAACAAAGAGAATATAGGACTCTGCTCTTGCTCTAAATTGTAAACATCTTTCCACACAGAACTTGCCAGGAGTCAGGCGTGGTGGCACACACCTGTAACCCCAGTGCTCGAGAGGCTGAGGCAGGAGGATCACGGGACGTTCTTGGCCAACCTGGGCTACCTAGTGAGTTCAAGGCCACACTGAACTACAAAGCAGGATTCTGTCAAAAAAGAAAAGAAAACTTTCCAGGACAATATATGAGGTGTATTGCAGAGGAATACTACAGTCATTGGAAACTTTAGACTTGAATTTCAAAATCATTTTTACAATATTATGTGTGTAAGATATTTGCAGTTAAAATGGCAGTTTATAAACTGAGTGTTGTGGTACATGCCTGTAATCCTAACACTCTGGTAGAGTAAGGCAGGAAGATATCAAATTCAAGCCCAGCTTACGCAATTTATCAACTTAACAAAATCCTGTCTCAAAAGTTCCAGGAACGTAGAAGATGTAATTGGGCACGTTCATGGCAGTACGGCCACAGACGAAATAATCTTTTTTTTTTTTGGTACCAGGGACTGAACTTGGGACATTGTGCTTGTGAGGCAGGCATGGTGCCACTGAGCTAAATCTCAGGCCCTTAAGAATGTAGAAGATACTAAGTTTATTCCCCAGTATTAAAAAGTAAAGACATGGTTTATGAAGACTGGATGTGCTGGGCATGGTGACCCACACCTGTAATCCCAGCACCTGGGAGGCTGAGGCAGGAGGATCACTGTGAGTTCAAGGCTAGCATAGGCTATGTAGCAACACCCCATCTTCAGAAAAGCTATACAGGGCCGGAGATTTGGCTCAGTGGTTCTGCCGCCTGCCTCGCAAGAGCAAAGGGCCCAAGTTGGATCCCAGGTACCATACAAAAAAAAAAAAAAAAAAAAAAGCGCCATACAATGTGGTAAACACCTATTTGTATATGTCAAGTGCAAAAAGGAAGATTATACATCTATATTTATATAGGCTACATGTTACAAATTCATGCACATGCAACCATGTTTTTAAAATGCTTCACAGGAAAAGAATGTGAGAGACATAAACCAAAGCAATAGAGGTTAAAGTAAGTGATATTTGAGTATTTTGTTGTTGTTCTGAGACAGGATCTCATGATGTAGTTGGCCTTGAACTCACTAGGTAGCCCAGGCTGGCCTCAAATGCGTAGCATCCTCCTGCCTCAGCCTCCTGAGACCTAGGATTATAGATGCATACCGCCATACCTGTTTTGAGTGGGTTTTTAAAAATCTTTTCTAAATTTTCTATAACATGAACATATTATTTTATAATTTAACAAAATGTGTAATAAACTTGCAAAGAAGAGGAGACCATCATTGAGCTTCTTAGTAGGTAGAAGAATAACCGTTTGATGGTCTGAGAGTTACGGTTGAACGTGGGACACTGCAGAAAAAAAAATCTTAAGTCTTAAGTAGCTATACAGGGAAGAATTTTAAGAATGATTTGCTCAATGTCTGTGTTTAGAACCAGGGATTTAGCTCAGTGGTTCTGCCTCCTGCCTTGCAAGCTCAAGGACCTAAGTTGGATCCCCGGTGCCAAAAAAAAAAAAAAAAAGTCTGTGTTTAAGTAGGATTGGTACTTGTTTGTTCAAAAACACTGTGCCACTGATTAGAAGGCTGCTGCATAAGACAAAAATCTTGAGAACGTAAGAGTTCCTGGCTAGGTTCTCACACACACTATGGTTTTTGAAGCAGCCAGTTTCGTGGCGAGCCCTGAGTGGTCAGCAGTGGTCAGTGGGAGTCTGTGGATCACCTACCATGGCTTTGTAGGGATAGGAAGTTTCTGAGTCGATGCCGTTGTTATCGATGACGTACTGGAAGGCCTCTGTCATGAAGCCGCCCCTGCAGCCTTTATTTCCATACTTTTCAGTTGAACAGTCCACCAGGTTCTGTGCACTGAGAGAGACCAGCTTTCCTGTTTTCAGCTTCAGCTGTGCTTCCAGAGCTCCCACAGCACTGAAAGCCCAGCAGGAACCACAGGTGCCCTGCAAGAAACGGGTCACGGGGCAGTCACAGAAAGTCAGTAAGGATGGCCCTAAACCCAGCAGAGCTCCCCCACTGCGGTTCCCTTCTGTCTGGGGGAATGAGGACCGACTACTGATTGTTCTCTAGGCCGAGTCCCTCTCACGGAGACTTGCAAATGGCGGGGCTCGGACCAGGATGGACACATTCAAACCTATTAGGAAATGGAAATTCCCCGAGCGTGTGCCAAGTCCCACTTATCTTCCCTGGGAGGGAAAGGGATACATGCATACGGTTAAGGGATTTTTGAGGGGGAAGAAAATGATTTCCTCCTCCTGAAGCTGTCTTCTTCCTGCTAAATGATGCCCCAAATGCAAGAGCTTTAATTCTAGGTTAGCATTTTTCAAACATTATTGTCCTGAGGGAACAGAAAAATACAAAACTGAGTTAGTTGAAAAACTCATCAGAACTGCTTGCTCCCTCTGTCTGTCTGTCTGTCTCTCTTCTCTTTTCTCCCTTCCTCCTACCTCACTCTACCCAAAGGAGACAAATAGAAATGGCTTTAGTCAAAGCAAAATTGCTCATTAGAATGCAACATTCTGGCCAGGGTGGTGGCGCATGCCTGTAATTCCAGCACTCGGGAGGATGAGGCAGGAGGATCGCTGTGAGTTCAAGACCAGCCTGGGCTACATAGTGAGTTCCAGGTCAGTCTCAACTACATAGCGAGAACCTGTCTCAAAAAAACAAAAACAAAAACAAGAATGCAACATTCTGAAAAGGAGCTTGTTATGGCTGTGTCTCGATGTGCCCGCAAAGCCTCATGCAGTCCAAGGTGGGCTTTTCAGAGGTGGCTGGACCTGGGGTGTGTGATGCTGGGACTGATGCCTGGTGTGATGCCAGGATCAGGGGCTCTAGGTTTAAGGGTGTGAGTGCTACATGCCCTGAGTAAAATTATAAAATTATAAATTTAGAAACTTCTTATCCTTATCTGGATAAGATATAAGGGACAGAAAGAGCTGCAGTCATCCCTTGCTGCTTTGCGGCCTTCTGCCTGCCATGAGCTGTTTCTCCTCTGCGACGCCCTCTGCCGCCCCGCCTTGCAGCCCGCCCATGATGAACTGAAGCCTCTACAAACTTTAAATAAACAGACTTTTCCTCCCTTCATTTTGGGTGTCAAGTATTTCATCTCAGCAATTAGAAAAGTAACACAGAGCTCATAAATTACTCCGAGTTAGTCCTCGAATATGCAGTTGGCAGGGCTTTCCTGAACTGATTTTACAGAAGCTTAAGTAAGAAACCTGGTACTAGTTTTTGGTAGGGAGGAAGTATAAGAGTGGGAAAGGATGAGGGTAGCAGTGCTATTCTTTTTTTTTTCAGTACGGGGATTAAACTCAGGACCTTGTACTTTCCAAGCAGGCGTGGCACCACTGAGCTAAATCCCTGGGCCCAACTTCTTTTTTTTTTTTTTTTTTAAGAGTAGGAAAAATTTATTGAGGGAAAGACAACTTCCGAACTTCTGGCTAAGAGAGACAGAAGGGGAACCGGAAAGTGAGTTGTCCCCCAGCCCCCAACTTCTTAATACATTTATGTTTTCTTCCTTGGTCACACACTGCGGCAAACACTCTGATTCTTCCCTTACCTGACCTTTAAGATGTGCTTTATGCTTAGTTCTTGCTAACTTGTTTAGGATTTTTGTAGCTTTTAAAAAAATAAAACACAAAAGGGAACTACAACATAGGAACAATTTTGCAAACCATAAACTTCCTTACTCTAACACTGCAAGCTTAGCTATGTATTAACTGGACTGGCTGAGGCCTCTCTAGCTCTAGACCCTCCCTCTCCTCCCACTCGGAAATTAGTAAGCTACATGGAGAGACCAACTTCTTGATCAGGCTTCCCTCACACTGGATCCTGCTTCCCAAGCAGTTGGGGTGCAGGGCGGTCCCGTGTGATGAGGGGGCGACGTGAGCGGTGACGTTTTGCTCTCATAGACCTGATCACGCGGGCCCAGTGTCTGTCCAGGGTGGCTGTGTTGCCATTAGTGTTCTATGCATTCTGAGGACAACAGATACAGGGCGTGACCTTTGCCCTCAGGTGGCTTACAATTTAGCTGAGAAGACAAAAGTAACAACTAGAAAGTGACAGAAGAGCCTGAGATTCACTGCCAAATTATGTAGCTCCTCACAGAAGAGAGGTCTGCCTTACGGTGCAGAGGCTTGGGATGGTTTGCTCACCTGGTATTTCACGTCAGTAACACACCCCTTTTCTCTCCAGTCCACAGAATCCGGCAGTTTCCGATTAGGTTCTGATTTGTAAGTGACATTTCTGGACCATTGTCTGGGCACTCTCAGGGAGCTCATCAAAGACAGCACTTCTTCACTGGTCTAGAAAGCAAAGACACATTCCCTTCCACTCATAGCCTTTTAAATATCCTAATAATTGTAAATGTGAATTTATTTTAGAACCGAGAAAAACTGGTGATAGTTGTGACCGGGACAGGTACCACTGAATGGTGGGGTGAGCGGTCCAGATGTCTTCTTTTGGCTTTTTGAGACAGGGTCTCACTGTGTAGTTAAGACTGATCTGGAACTCACTGTGTAGCCCAGGCTGGTCTCGAACTCACAGCAATCCTCCTGCCTCAGCCTCCCGAGTGCTGGGATTACAGGCGTGCGCCACCACACCCGGCTGTCCAGATGTCTTTAATCTTGGACTTTGCATCAGTGTCTTTCTCAGTTAGCTGAACTTTCTCCTCAAGAAGAGGATCAAGAAAATGGTGAAAACTGAAAATTACAGGGATGTGGAGGCAAGGCATAATTTTATAAACAGCACTGTCTAAAAGTGGGCCAAACCGGTTTTCCTTGTGAGAAAGAATTAAAAGGAGATTTGTGCATTTAATTAGGAATCTGGTTTACCGAGGGTGTTGCTTTCCAAACAGTACTGTGACTCTTAATTTTGGCCACAGTTAAAGTAGAACAGAACATAACTAATGCGAGGGCCAGGGATGCAGCCCAGGGTTAGAGGGTTCCTTAGGACGCCTGAGGCCCTGCTTCGGTCTCCAGACCCCCACACACCCCAGATGGGAGATTATATTATCACACATCAATACAGTAACTAACTACTATATAAGACTACGAGCAGGCTTCAGAAAGTTCTCTTTAGAATTCACTGAAGAATGAAAGCGATATAATCCACGAGTTTAAAATTTCCACTAAAGAAGGGACTTGTGAAGGTAAGCGGTCAAAGTGGGAATTTCAGTACAAATTCTTGGGTCCTTAAGTTCTATTTTCTCACTTTGCACGCGCAGGGCTGGGTACTCTTTTTTTCCCCTGTGGTGGCGCTGCTGGGACTTGAACCCAGGGCCTCCTGCGTAACAGACAAGGGCTGTACTACTGAGGCGCTTCTGGCCGTGGCTCTCCTCTGGGGCTGCCTTTGTCTACTTTCAAACTGCTGTGGGCTGGGGATTTAGCTCAGTGGTTCCGCTGCCTGCCTTGCAAGCGCAAGGACCCGAGTTCAATCCCCAGTACCAAAACAAACCAAAAAACTGCTGTTGAGGATATGGAAATCACACAGCTAGACCCGAAAGCAGGATTACAGTGGAGCCTTGGTTCCCAAACTTAATTTGTGTGCTGTGCTTGGGTAGCACTGTGTCTGTGATTTGCCTACCATGTCTCCCAGGTGGTTCATGCCGAGGTTGTACGAGTGCAGCCCCATCGAATGCTCCAGGTTGTGAAGCATCACGAACTTGAGGTTCTTCTCCCAGATGAGCCGCCGTACCTGTTCTTCATTCTAACATACAAGGTAGGAGAACAGTCACCCTCCATCCCGGATGAACTCACACTCAATAATGAAAGCGGCATTTTGTGAAGCAGTCTAGCAATGCAGCTCTGTCTCAGGGCATACAAAGCAACGAATATATCCAATCTAACTGCTAAAATCACATACTAATTCTAACTCTTGCCCTTAGCTGCTTTGGTGGTTATTAATATTTTATGGTATACACAATTCATTTCCTCCAAATGAGGTTAACAGTTTTGTTTTTAGAAAGTATTGTTTGTTGAAGTATATTATATACTTCATAGGTGCAAACGCAATCTTTTTTTATTTTTGGTACCGGGGATCAAACTTGGGACCTTATGCTTGTGAGGCAGGAGGCAGAACCACTGAGCTAAATCCCTGGCCCTGTAAACTCAATCTTTATGGGTCCCCATAAAATTTTTTGAGTCTCACTATTAAAAAACAGTTGAGCTGATTATAAATTTCTAGCTGTTTTTCTTCAGCTATTTCAAGATGTTTCTCCATTTTCTTCTGATAGCTTTTGTTGCACATGAGAGATGTGCTATCAGTCTAATTATTGACCTCTGTTTTTAACTCTGGTAGAATTTTCTTTTTTCTTTTCATGTTCTGTAGCTTCTAACTATTTACCTTCTGCTGGTTACTCTGTGTGCGTGTGTGTGTGCGTGTCTGCATGTGTGTGTGTGGTACTGGGGATAGAGCCCAAGTCTGTCTTCACACTGAGTTGAATCCCTAACTCCTCCTCCTCTTCCTCTTCCTCCTTCTTCTTGCTATTATTTTATTATTTTAAATTTTGAGATAGGGTCTCACTCTGTTGCCCGGGCTGTACTTGAATTTGCCATCCTCCTACCCCAGCCTCCTGAAGTGCTGGGATTACAGGTATGCGCCAGCACACCCAGTCATGCTGGGTACTCCTGACTGGATAATTCACAACATTTCTCATATTTGGAAATTTTCAAAGAGCAATCCCCCGCCCCGAAGAGCATTTTTTCATATATTGCTTGTCCACTATTTCATCTAACTTTCTCCTTCAGAAACACCTATCACATGCATCTTAGAGTCTCAGACACTTTTCCAACTCTTACTTGTGTTGTCCAGATCTCCCTTTTTATTGCCGTGTGCTGCACGCTGCATGAGTGTCTCGGCACTAACCCCTTCTTCCACATGACTGATGCTGGCTGGTTGTTTTGCTCTGCAGTTTATCGGGTTGATTGAATTTTTATTTCAGTGGGTATTTTTTTTTCAAGATTTCTAATTTATTTCACAAATTTAATGTTCATCAGTGTGTATGTATTTCCTTTATGTAGAAAGTCATTTTGGGTTCTATTATTTATTACTTTAATTTTATCCAGAGAAAAATTATGTACGGACTTGTTTTTCTGGTCCTCCGGAGAGTCGTTACACAGAATATAATGTTCACAAGGGACATGGTGTACCCGGCGCGTCCACAATAGCTGCTGCCCTCCACTACCACCAGGGCCAGAATGAGCTGCGGGCCCTATGAACAGTCATCACCCCATTCCACCTCTATTCATTGAATGCAAGAGCCCAGTCCCAGAACCTGGTCTCAGGAAGCCTTACAGACGCAGCCCTCTCTCTTTGGGAGCAACTTTTACTATTACCTAGCCATGGACACAATGCACTCGCATGATGAACCTAAGTCCAAACCACTAGAGAAGGCAAAAATGGGATAAGTGAAAATAAATCTAACAAAGTGCAAGAAAGGAGAAAAAAGTGGACTTGAGATAGATTATCAAGGTAGGATACTAGTCAAAACTCATGATTATTCCTGCTGACGGGTTGGAATAACATTCGCTTAGTTAATCTGATAGGGATGATAATTACACATTTAACTCTAACTCTGAAACTAGGGCCCTGGTCCCAAATTGGTTCATCACCCAAGTGAAAATCATATGATTATCTCAGTGGATGGAGAGAAAACATTTGACGAAGTTAAACAGCTTTCTGTGATAAAACCTTCCAGCAGATTAGGCATAGAAGAATGTTCCTCAATACAACAAAGGCCCCAGGTGACCAACCCCAGGTAACCCCATATTCAACCACGAAAAGCTGAAGATCATCTCCGAGACAGGAAAAAGAAAGGGACACTCACTCTCACCGTGTCTATTTAATGTGCAAGTCTTAGGTGGAGCAACTAGGCAATAAAAACAAAGAAAAGGTACCCATATAGGAAAAGAAGAAGTGAAATTATTTCTTTTTCTCAATGGCATCCTCTTATATATAGATAACCCTAAATAATCCACCAAAATACGATGAGAACTGAAAGAAATTTGGAAAAGTTGCAGGTTATAAAATTAATACATAAAGCCTGGGTGTCATGGCACATGCTTGTAATCCCAGCGCTTGGGAGGCTGACTCAGGAGAATCTGTACGAGTTCAAGGCCAGCCTGGGCTACAAAGTGAGTTCAGGGCCAGCCTGAGCTACACAGTGAGACCCTGTCTCAAAACAACAACAAAATTAACACACAGAAGTCAATAGTATTTCTATACACAAACAGCAAACTACCTGAAAAGAGATTAAGAAAATAATCCCTTTTACAACAACATGAAGAAATACTTAAGAGTAAATTTAACACCGGCGAAAGATCTATGTAATTGTCCTGCAGTACCCATGTAGGATTGGTTCAGGGGTCCTTCCCCGCAGGAATAACAAACTCTGAGGGTACTCAGGTTCCTCCTGTAAAATGGTGTTAGCCAGGCATGGTGGCACAAACCTAAAATTCCAGCTTCTCAGAAGGCTATGGCAGGGAGATCATAAATTTGAAGTCAGCCTGAGCATCGTATAGAGATCCGGTGTCAAAACTTTTATTAAAAGGCCCGGCTATCACCACTCCTTTTCAATATAGTTCTGGGAACATTGGCCACAGCAATTAGACAAGAGAAAGAAATAAAAGAAATAGATAGGAAAGGAAGAAGTTAAACTGTCATTATTTGCTCACAATATGATACTCTACATAGAAGACTCAAAAAATTTCACCAAAAGACTTCTAGACTTACTTGACAGATTCAGTAGAGTAGCTGGATACAAGGTCAACACTGAAAAATCAACAGCCTTCTTGGACACAAGCAACAGACTCACTGAGAGAGAAATTAGGGAAACAACCCTTTCATAACAGCATCAACAAAAATGGAATATCTAGGATTCAAATGAAGTAGAAGACCTCTACACTGGAAACTACAGCACTCTGAAAAAAAAGATCAAAGGGGATGCAAGAAATGGGAAAGACATCCCCTGTTCCTGGGTAGGAAGAACCAATATAGTGAAAATGGCCATACTTCCAAAACTGTGATACAGAGTCAGTGCAATCCTGATTGAAATCCCAACAGTATATTTCACAGAGCTAGAAAAAACCCCAAAATTCATTTGCAACCGGAAGGGACCTAGAATAGCAAAAGCAATTCTAGGCAACAGAGACGTGACGGGATATCACAATCCCCAACTTGAAACCATACTACAAGCCACTGTCATAAAAACAGCATGGTACTGGCAAAGAAACAGACTCAAGGATCAGTGGAATAGATTAGAAGGTGCAGAAACAACTCCTGACACACTCAGGTACCTCATCTTTGACAAAGGAGCCAACTATCCTCACTGGAGGAAAGATAGCCTCTTTAATAAATGGTGTTGGAAAAAGATTTCAACCTGCCACAGATTACAATTAGACCCCTATCTTTCACCATAGACTAAACTAAAATTGAAGTGGATTAAAGATCTAAATATTAAAACAGAAACACTAAACCTGCTGGAAGATAAGTTAGGTAAAACTCTTGAAGACATAGGCATACAAAAAGACTTTATGAACAAATCCTCAGTAGCACAGGAACTAGCACAAAGAATCAACACCTGGAACCTCATCTTATTAAAAAGCTTCTAGCCGGGTGTGGTGGCGCACACCTGTAATCCCAGCACTCGGGAGGCTGAGGCAGGAGGATCATTGTGAGTTTGAGGCCAGCGTGGGCTGTATAGTGAGTTCCAGGTCAGTCTCAACTACATAGTGAGACCCTGTCTCAAAGCAAAGCAAAACAAAATAAAACAGAAGCTTCTGCACCACAAGAAAAATCACCAACAGTGTGAAGAGACAACCCACAATGTGGGAAAAAATTTTTACCAGCTGTTCCTTAGACAAAAGTCTATTATCTAGAATATATAAAGAACTAAAAGGGCCGGGGATTTAGCTCAGTGGTTCGGTGGCCTGCCTTGCAAGCGCAAGGACCCAAGTTCAATCCCCAGTACCAAAAAAAAAAAAAAAACAAAAAATCATACTCCCTAAATATAATGACCCAATTAAAAAATGGGCATCTAGCCAGGTGTGGTGTAATCCCAGCACTCCGGAGGCTGAGGCAGGAGGATTGTTGTGAGTTCAAGACCAGTCTGGGCTACATAGTGAGTTCCAGGTCAGTCTCAACTATGTAGTGAGACCCTGTCTCAAAAAAGGGGGGGGCACCTGAAATGAACACACATTTCTCGGACAAAGAAGTAAAAGCAGCAAATCAACATATGAAAAAATGTTCAACATCATTGGTCATTTGAGAGATGCAGATGAAAACAACACTGAGATTCCACCTCACCTCAGAAAGAATGGCTGCTACCAAGAAATCAACCAATAATAAATGGTGGCGGGGCTGTGGGGAGAAAGGAACCCTTCTCCACTGTTGGTGGGAGTGCAGACTGGTGCAACCGCTGTGGAAATCAGTATGGAGATACCGCAAAGAATAAGCATTAGAGGTTTGACCCAGCCATCCCTCTGCTGGGTATCTTCCCAAAAGAAGCGTCATACCACAGTGATATATTCTCACCCATGTTTATGGTGGCACAGTTTTTAACAGTAAAGCTTGGAAACAGCCCAGTTGCCCATCACCTGGAGACTGGATAAAGATGTGTGTGTGTGTGTGTGTGTGTGTGTGTGTGTGTGTGTGTGTTGCTGTTGTTTTTGGTACCAGGGATCAAACTCTGATCCTTGCGCTTGCAAGGCAGCCGGCAGAACCACTGAGCTAAATCCCTGGCCCTGTTTTTTGGGTTTTTGAGATGGGATCGTACTTTGTAAAGTTCAGGCTGTCCCTGAACTCACTATGTAGCCCAGGCAGGCCTCGAACTCCAGGCAATCCTCCTGCCTCTGCCTCTCAAGTCCTGGGATTACAGATGTGCACCATCATGCCTGGCAATAAAGTTAGAATTTTAAAATGAATAAACAAGTATATTTAAAATAAAAACCAGGGGCTGGGGATTTGGCTCAGTGGTTCCGCCACCTGCCTTTCAAGCACCAGGGCCTGAGTTTGATCTCCGGTACCAATAAATAAATAAACCAAACTGCAGGACCGGGGATTTAGCTCAGTGATTCTGCTGCCTGCCTTGCAAGTACAAGGGCCTAAATTCATTCCCCAGTAACAAAAACAAAACAAAGAACCAAAATACAAAGTGGGAAGTGAGAGTCAACTTCCAAATTCTAGCAGCTGACGCCATGCCACAGGCTGTCTTAACAACTTTTTGTTCCTCAAACACGCCAAACACACTATTCCTCAGACATGCACTCGTATTCCTTTGGCCTGGGACTTTCACTCCATCATTTATGTTGCTCCCTCCCTTGCTTCTATGAGTTCCCTGCTCAGGACTCTACTGGCCCTTCTGTCACCATCGCCCTGTAGTCACGGATTTCTCACTGTCACCTCCCCCCATGGCCCTTATTTTTCTCTACCACGCTTCTTCTTCTTCTTCATTTTTTTTTTTTTTTGTTGTTGTTGTTTTAAGACAGGGTCTCACTATGTAGTTGAGACTGACCTGGAACTCACTATGTGGCCCAGGCTGGTCTCGAACTCACAGTGATCCTCCTGCCTCAGCCTCCTGTGTGCTGGGATTACAGGCATGCGCCACCACACCCAGCTCTACTGAGCTTCTTAACATCCAACTTACTCCACATACCTGCTGGTTTGCCCACTTCTGTCCTTCTCTCCTACTCTAACAGAATCTCCACAGTAGCTCTGTTTTGTGTCCTGCTACATGGTACGCGGAACAATAAATAAGTACGTAATATTTCTAGAAAACCCTGCTTGTAAGAACACAGCTTGGAGAGCAACAGAACGGGCTGGGTACCGGAGAAAGGGCATCGTGCTCAAGCGGCAGCCCCTTCTACCTTTTCCTGATAGTGTTTTCCATAGGTTTTTTTCCAGAGATTCCAGTGGTGATCCAGCGTAGGATCCTGCTGCACTTGTGCCGCTGCCAAAGCGCATACCACGCACACCCACGTCAGCCGCTTCATCCTGTTGGAAAAGGCAACCGGGCAAGCGGAGCTCTTAGCTGCGTGCTTGTGCGTATTCAGAACAGCAAACAGCACCACAGAGGGAAAACACTCTTATAAATCAGAATTAGAAAACAACACCTTGCAGTACGTAATCACAAGATGAAAATGCAGGACTACGTCTGAAATACTACTTCCAATACTTAGTAACACTTAATTTTATTATTTTTATTAATTAAAAAAATTTTGAAACAGGGTCTCGGTCCTGCTATGTCACGCGGGCTGGCCTTGAACTCTTGCTGATCCGCCTGCCTCAGCCTAGTTAGTAATATTTTTAGCAATGATTTTCAGAAATTTTCCAATATGTAGTAAAATGAACACACTAAGTGCTCTGTTTTTTTCCAGTACTGAGGATCAAACTCAGGACCTTGAGCTTGTGAGGCAAGCGAGGCACCACTGAACTAAATCCCCAAACCTCACACAGAATGTTAAAAAGTAGGGACTTTCCAGAATTTGCCAACAAATCTAAACAAAGGAAATCCTCCTCCTCCTTTCCAAATAGAAGTCATTCTGAGAAGAAGACACCCTCTGAAAAATTAGTTTATCCTCTAGATTGTTTAATACGTGAACTTGTTTTATGAGCTGGTCTTTTTTTTTTTTTTTTTTTTTTTTTTTCCCACTGGTTTTTTTTTTTTTTTTTTTTTTTTTTGTACCAGGAATCGAACTTGGGTCCTTGCGCCTTTGAGGCAGGCAGTGGCACCACCAAGCTAAACTTTGGCCCTGAGCTGGTCTGTTTAAATGTGCAGAACCTAGTGTACACATGTGTGGAAACATCGCATGGTGCCCCATCAAAATACACAATTTTCTGTTTCTGTGTATCAGCTAAAAGGTAATTTTAGTTTTTACAATAGCTGGGCATGGTGGCACATGCCTATAATCCCAACAACTCTGAAGTTTGAGGCCAGCTTGAGCAACTTAGTGAGACCTTGTCCCCAGATAAAAATAAAAAGGGCTGGAGATGCAGCTCAGTGGTAGAGGGCTTGCTAACCCCAGTGCAGTCCGCACTACTACCCCCCTACATACACACAAAGGAAGGAGCCAGCTGTGGGGACAGGTGCCTGTGGTCTCAGCTGCTCAGTAGGCTGAGGCAGAAGGATCACTTGAAAGCTGGGCGTGGTGGCTCATGTCTGTAATCCCAGCACTTGGGAGACTGAGGCAGGAGGCTGTGAGTTCGAGACCAGCCTGGGCTACGCAGTGAGTACCAGGGAAGTCTGAACTAAATAGTGAGACCCTGTCCTAAAAAATAGAAAACACATACAAAACAACAACAACAAACAAACGAAGGATCCCTTGAGCCTGGGAGTTGAGACCAGCCTGGGCAATACAGTAAGATTCATCTGAAAAATAAATCAATGGGCTGGAGATTTAGCTCCGCAGTTCTGCTGCCTGCCTCATAAGTGCAAGGACCTGAGTTCGATCTCTGGTACCAAAAATAGAATAAATAAATAGAGCTGAGGCTATAATTCAGTGGTAGAGCACTTGTCTCGCATGGGTGAGGGTCTGGCTTTAATCCCAGTATTGCAAAGATTAATCAAAAAATAAAAATAAAGTGTCTATAACCTTTAGAGATACTTAAAAGACAACTCTTATCCACCAGTCTGACATCCTTAGGGTTTGTTTTATTTATTTATTTTTTCTTTTGTGGTACTGTGAATGAACCATGGCCTTCACATTAAGCAGCAACCCTGGCCTTTTTTGAATTTTTTATTTTGAGACAGGGTCTTGTCAAGTTGATAAGTTGCCCAGCCTAGGCTCAAACTTGCAATCTTCCTGCTTCAGCCTCCCAAAGTGCTGGGATTAGCTTTGTAACCCCCCACCAACACTTAAGTATTTATTTCAAAGGAGAGAATTAACTACTCTCTAAAACACAATTTCTATATTCAATTCAAAGAAACCGCCACGGAAATTCAGTAACTGCCTCAGACTGTATTTTACTTTTATCCACTTCTTTTTAATTCAAAAGAACTGGAATTTTAACTGTACATCTTCAAATTATATTCCAAAGAGAACTAGTCTCAGGGCTGAGGATTTGGCTCAGAAGTTCTGCCGCCTGCCTTGCAAGCTCAAGGACCCAAGTTCGATCCCTGGCATACCCCCCCCACCAAAAAAAAAGAAAAAAAGAAAAGAAAACTAGTTTCAGTCTCAAGTTTAGATGTTCAAGCAGACATTAAGCTTTCAAAAATAAATTATTTTTAAACAGAAAAGGAAGAGGCAAATTGAGTGATGTGATTTTTTTTTTTTTTACTTTACTTCCTGAAACCAGAGCTTTAAAACCTGGCAGGAAGAGCAAGCTAAAAACATAAGCAAAGCGTGTTTAAAGACCAAACGCGAGAGAAACACAGAAAGTACGTACATGACAAAACCGGCAGGTGTTCCCATCAGAAGAGTCCGGGAATTGGTGAGCTCACTCCAGAGATTCAAAGGCAGTAAAGAGACTTCGGCTGAATGGCCTTTAAAAAGAAATTGGGCTTTGTCACATGAGGTATCCACGATGAGGAAGTGAACTTTCATTTCAGTTTCATTTGAAATCTTACAGAGCCAGCTACCCCTAGCCTTCTCCTTGTGACCTTGGGAACAAAGGTTCAGTAATCAGTTCTGACTTAAGTGAATCCTTCGCAAACAAACAGGACAAAACAAACAGGTTGTTTTCAGCAAACAGCAGCAGCTTCTCAGGAAACAGGATAAATGGACTCAAAATGTAGTACAGAAGCCCCCGGCGCCAGGAAGTCCAGTCACTGTGTACACACCTGAGCAGACCGTCCTTGGGCGTCCAAGTCATAAATATTTACCCCAGATTCCTTAGCCCTTCCACACCTATACAAGCCTAATTCCTTTCCCAGCCGGCTGCTAATATCTCTCTCCGGTGTTAGCCCATCTGTTCAGGGATGGAGTCTCCCGGCCAGCTGCTGTCTCTCTCCCATTACCAGCCCATCCACACACGGATGTCATAAGCTCGGCTTTTCCCAGCCAGCTGCTAGAGCCTCCTGACTGTAGTTCTTGTTCACTGAAATAAGCTTTTCTTTTTCTCACAACCAAGAGCCTGTTTTTTGACAAGTGGATTCTTTACAACACGTAAACCATCGGGAGGCACCAACACAAGAACAAAGTTAGCGATAGAGGAGCAGTAGAAGTTTACCCTTTAATCTTGCATCCTTCTGATAATTCACTTTTTTCTTAGACTATTTTATTTATTTATTTATTTTGGTACCGGATCGAACTTGGGTCCTTGCACTTGCAAGGCATGCAATGGAACCGCTGAGCTAAATCCTCGGCCCTAATTCGCTTTGTTTGTTTGTCTAATTGTTTTTTGAGACAGGGTCTCACTATGTAGTTGAGACTGACCTGGAACTCACTATGTAGCCCACAGCGATCCTCCTGCCTCAGCCTCCCAAGTGCTGGGATTACAGGAGAGCGCCACCACGCCCGGCTCTCATTCACTTTCCTAAAAGTATCAATTTTGAGATTAAAAACGAAAAACTTAGTTACAAAGTGATTATGATTAAGCCCCTCCACTCTCAACTCCACCAATACCACTCTTGAAGGCTCTTCTGTCTCAGTGATAGAGAAATCAGACCTGAGGCAAGGAGCGTGAGCCCACAGGCAAACTTGGAGAAGGAAGAGGAAATGGGGAAGAGGCTTGAGCTTCCGGGGAAGGAGAGCCGAAGGGGACATAGTCCTGCCCAGAAAATTGGGCTGATCAGCTACCAGAGGCAGAGCATTCTCTGGCCTCTGAGTCTGTGAGGTGGCACTGGAGAATTCTGTCCCCCAAGGGACGTGCCAGTCCCGGGAGATCCGGCTTCCGGTCAGGGGAGCAACCTTATCGCCGCAGACTTCTGGAGCTGCTGTGTGGATGACGCCTGTGGGATTTCGCCCTGCAGCAGAGCTGACCTCCTGGCATTTGGTCCCCAAGGTCACCTGTCCACATTATAGTATTGATGTCACCTTGTGTGTGCCCAGTGACATCCTAGGGTGAGGGACCCTCCGTGTGTGGTTTGGGTAACATGTTCACGACTGTGTCACGGGCTGGCATGGGCCCTCGCTTTGGTGATAGCGAAAATTAAAACTAAAGCTGGAGTTTGCCGGGGAAAGCTCTAAGGAGGGTAACAAAGCGGGAGCACAGCTGATAGAGGCCAAGCCAGTGCCGTAATAAGGACAGTGAGAGCGGCAGCGGCTCCCCCAGGCGGGGCATAGCTGGCCCTTCCACAAAAGGGGAAGACCAGCGTTTAAGGATGGGCTGAGACGGTGTGAGAAGCTGTGCTGCTGCGAACAAGGTGCACAAGTATCACTGTCATCTGAGTCTTTTAATGCTTTGGGGAAGATCCCCAGCAGGGGGACGGCTGGGTCAGTGGGACCTCTAGTCCCGGTTCTTTGCGGTGTCTCCATATTGATTTCCACAGCGGCTGCCCCAGTCTGCACTCTCACCATTGGAGAGGGATCCTTTCTCCCCACAATGTCACCAGCATCTGTTACTGGTTGATTTCTTGATAGCAGCCGTTCTTTGTGGGGTGAGGTGGAATCTCAGTGTTGTCTTCAACTGCATCTCTCGAACGACCAGTGATGTGGAGCATATTGTTTCATCTATGTATTTGCTGCTTTTCCTTCTTTGAGAAGTGTCTGTTTATTTCAGATGTCCATTTTTTGAATCAGGTCTTTATAGTGGAGAGGGTCTGGTTTTTTGAAATTCTTTATATATTCTAGATAGTAGACCTTCGCCTGAGGAACAGCTGGTGAAAATTTTTTCCCTCATTGTGGCTGTCTCTTCACACTGCTGGTGCAGAAGCTTTTTTAATAAGAAGAGATCCCACTTGTTGGTCTCGCTTCTTTGCGCTTGTTCAGGTGCAACGGAGGTTTTGTTCATGAAATCTTTTCCTACGCCAATATCTTTACGAATTCTACGTAACCTCTCTTCCAGTCAGTCTAGTGTTTCTTGTTTAAATATTTAGATCTTTAACCCATTTTGATTTTAATTTATGCATAGTGAGAGATTTAAGTCTAGTTTCAATCTTCGGCCAGTTGAATCCCAGTTTTTCCAGCACCATTTATTAACGAGGCTCTTTCCTCCAGTGAGGAGGGTTTGGCTCCTTTGTTGGAGATGAGGTAGCTCAGTGTGCCTGGAGTTGAGGTGGACCAGGGTTCAGCTGATGATGATCTCAGCTCCGGTTTCCTAGCTCTGGAGGAATCCTCACCACGTGAGGGCTGATTTAATTTCCAGGAAATAATCATTTCTGCTTGGGGCAGTTTCAGTCATTCGAGGCTCTGCTTCTCCTGGCATCTAGGTGTTCACAGATTTAGGGCAATGTCTGGGGATGGTAAAGCATCACTGCCCCAGAAAGGGTATCTGGAAGCGGACTTGAAAAGCTGGTGATCAGCGTCCCTGTGAACTCTGAGCAGCCCTTTACTCTCATCTCAGTGACCTCTACCTTGATGGGGGTTGAGACAGGCTGGATAAGCTCTGGTTAATAAACTGTTCTGAAAACCTTTAGACAGACACTCCCAAGATGACTAACAGGCCTATAAGGAGAACTGAGATTTGAGCCAGAGTTTTACAAAATGAAGACCAAGCTTTGTGTTACTTGTTGGGCCCCCATGAAGAGACAAACGTTTTAAGCAAAAACATCTTAAGTCCCTGATTGTCTCAAAATAAAACTCAAATTGTGCTTTTAAGGATTAATGGGTTAAAGGGGGAGGAGTTTGTCCTTTGTTCCTGTGGCGGTCTCTGACTCCCTCAGAACTGTCAATTCTATTATCCCTGAGCCTCTCTGACTCTGCTTTCAGAGCGCCCAGTCTTCTGCAATTTTAAAAGAAATCACAGTACCCAGGCAGATCAGCCGGTACCAGTAATAACATCCGCAGGAGGCAGAATTGGAAAGAAGTGAGTCTCAGAAGGCAGATCGGGAAGCTGGTTTTTCAGGCTGTGAGCAGAGGAAACTCAAGAAGGACTCTCGAGTAGAGCTCGTTGTGAAACTCTCATCTTCCTTGTCCGAACTCGGTTCCTTGTGCTTGTGAGGCAGGCGACAGACCCACTAAGCTAAATCCCCGGCCCTTCCTTGTCCTCTTTTACATATCTGATTTTATATCCAGTTCACTTCAGGGTTGTTTTTGTTTTGCTCTCAGCCTTGGTACCCCTACATGCATCTGAATGCCAAAACATATATGGTTCAGTTTCCTTAGTGAGGATACGATTGTAAGAACAAATTTCGTATCGTCAAGATTAAAATTATAGATAACTGTTTCCACCAGGGACCATGCCTTCTTGGGTCACTGTTCGTCTGCCTGATGGAGGCTGAAGCCCGCGTGCTCCATGACAGAATGTACCTGGGCACTGGAGGAAACTGGCCAGCCCCATCATGGGATGTGACCTAAACGGAGCCAGGTATGAAAGTGGCTCTCTAGCTGATTCAGATAATCCTCTACCAAACGGGGGAGACAGAAGTAGGTTAGTGGTGGCATCTAAGAAACAGGATTCAGAGCACCAACTAACGTTTCTAAAACTATAAATGAATTCTAGATTTACCCTAAAAGTTGAATTGGTCCCAAACGAAATAGGGCTCTCAGGGAAGACTGAATTCATTGCAGACTGTTTTTGAACACAAGAATTCAACAAAGGAAAAAGCTGGGTATGATTGTGTGCCTACCATCGCATCTGTTCGGGAAGCTGAAACGGGAGGATCTCTTAAGCTTAGGCATTCAAGGCCAGTGTAGACAACACAGTGAGACACCATTTAAAGAAAAAGTAAGCAGAGTAACTTTACTTCACTTCTGATATACATACGAATTAATATCAATATACATGTGAATTAAACCTGACTAAAATATAGGTTTTATTTTTTATTTTTTTGAGACAGGGTCTCACTATGTAGTCGAGACTGACCTGGCACTCACTATGTAGCCCGGGCTGGTCTCCAACTCACAGCGACCCTCCTGCCTCAGTCTCCCAAGTGCTGGGATTACAGGCATGCGCCACCACGCCTGGCTAAAATGTAGGTTTTAGAAGAATCTAGTGTCACTAGTAGAATGCAAGAAGAATACAAACAGATTTCCTTTTATGGGAAAAAGAGTAACTGCCATCGTTTTAGTCAGTTTTGCATCACTACTACGAAACACCCAGCACAGAATACTTAGGAAATAAAGAGAGGCTCATTTTGGCACATGGTTCTGGAAAATTAAGTTCAAGATCAGGTGGCCTGCTAAGTCTGGGCATCTTGTGAGGGCGCCATTTCACAGTGTCAATGTGTGTGGCAGCAAAGGTCTTACATCATGAGCCCGAACAGAGAAAGGGGAAGTTGAGGTCCCACAGACCCCTCTGGGGCACAGCCCTGTGACCCAGGACTCAGTCCCACCTCCTGGAGTCCACCGTCGCTCAACAGCACTCTGTGACCGGGCCTTGAGCACCCAGGCCTTGGAGGGACGCCGCCCACGTCTGAGCCACACCAGGGACGTGACTGCCATCACCTGATCTCTCCTCACATAGGGAGCCGAGCGAACATTTCCAGGCTCTTGTGCTTGCCTTGGTTATGCTGCCTGTTGGTTACAAGACCGGAAGCAAATCCACACGCCTGGCTCACTTTCCCTCTGCAGGAACAGTCCAGAGTACCCACTTCACGGTAGCTAAACAGGGAAGATACCAGCAACAGAATGCAATCCCCCCATCCCACCACCGGGGATCGAACTCAGGACC